ATTGCCAATTTTCATAAAAATCGAAGTCAAACGGTCCATCCACAAGAATCGTACGAACATCTATGGAGCGCAGCAAGGATTTTTGAAATCTTCTCTCGGCACCTCACTCAATCCTACAGTGGAAACTAGAGTCGAGATGCAGCAAGCGAGCGGAGAAACACTTCTTGCAACCAAAACAAAAATTCTATGGATCATCAAAGGCTTATGTTGGATCACACTCATGATTTCATCATAGTTATTCGATTTATACACACACAAATTAAAGGAACATATCTCTCTCTCCTATCCAAATTCAGATTTTTTATTGTTAGTACTAATTTGGTATTTTACCTCTCATATCAAAACGAATTCACGAGTAATTTCAGTAACAATAAAGATTCAACGTGAAATCATAATTAAAGTCAAAATGTGAAACTTAAAATTAAAGAAGTCAACAAGGCTAACATTGTTCGCCCTAACTATTAAAAATTAACTACTCATCGTTTAGCTGCAAACATTGTTGGCGATTAGAGGTGGTGGTGTCTATTACAGTGCGACTTTGTTGGTTGACAACGATGGCAAGCCGACGGTGGGTGATTTTTTCTGATTTCATTTTGGAGGGTGGGTATTGGAAAGAAAGTTCATATTTTTTTCCTTATTATTATTATTATTATTTTTTTTTTGGTTTTTAATGATTTTATATGAAAATATATAAAATTATCATTTCACCCTTACCCAAATAGTTAATTTTGATCAACTGACCACAAATTGCAAGAATTTTTGCTGGACTCGTTACTCAAGGGTCAAGCTCAACTCGGCCCATGAGCTCGTGGATCGGCTCGAGAGCTCGTAATTTTTTTTTTATTTATTTAAGATCACTTTTTTCTGAAAAATAAATTAATCCTTCACAAAAACGAGCCCACGAGCCGCTCGCCCGTGGGCCTAGCAAGTTGGTCAACTCAGCTCGTGCTCATCATTTGACGAGCCCAAGTAGTCCACTAGCCGAGCGGCCTGTTTGCCACCACTATCCATTTGTCCTCCAACCGTACACATTTAAAAAGTTTGGGACCACTTGTGCAAAAATGAAATGTTTAAGTAAAAGCTGAAAAAACTTTAAAAGGTTTGAAATCATAACTGCAATTATCTCAAGATACTATTGCAATTTGTCAGTTTGACACACGGACTGGTACTTAAATTGCCACTTTAACACCCACTGAAACTACTTCATCGTCCAATGCATTATTCTACCAGAAGCTGTCAACGATCAGCACTCGTTTTGAAGTCAAGCTGGTGTTTGAGAATTCCGCATTGCACTTTGAACCATTAATTCCAGTACATATCCATCTTGAAGGAGCAGATTGCTTGTAAATGCAAGTGAGAGAGTAGAAAATGTCAAGGTAAACCACTTAGGGATATATGTAATTTCCACAAAAAATAACCCTTCACAAAAACGAGCCCACGAGCCGCTCGCCCGTGGGCCTAGCAAGTTGGTCCGCTCAGCTCGTGCTCATCATTTGACGAGCCCAAGTAGTCCACTAGCCGAGCGGCCTGTTTGCCACCACTATCCATTTGTCCTCCAACCGTACACATTTAAAAAGTTTGGGACCACTTGTGCAAAATTGAAATGTTTAAGTAAAAGCTGAAAAAACTTTAAAAGGTTTGAAATCATAACTGCAATTATCTCAAGATACTATTGCAAATTGTCAGTCTGACACACGGGCTGGTACTTAAATTGCCACTTTAACACCCACTGAAACTACTTCATCGTCCAATGCATTATTCTACCCGAAGCTGTCAACGATCAGCACTTGTTTTGAAGTCAAGCTGGTGTTTGAGAATTCCGCATTGCACTTTGAACCATTAATTCCAGTACATATCCATCTTGAAGGAGCAGATTGCTTGTAAATGCAAGTGAGAAAGTAGAAAATGTCAAGGTAAACCACAGGTTTCTGAACGTTGGACACATCAATTTAACAAAGGTGCGCAAAGCAACTGTCAAAACTCAATAGTAGCCTTAAAAACATTTTCTTACAACCTCTCTGGCAAACAAATAACAATACCATTGCGATCTTGGTTCAATCTCAAGCTATATAGCAGCAAAATATTCCTTGCTGAGCTTGGGATCTGGTTTCATAGACTTCTCCCCAGGCTTCCAGCCAGCTGGGCATACTTCATCAGGGTTCTCCTGAACATATTGCAAGGCCTGCAGAAGCATGATGCTCCATAAATAGAAACTCATTGAACTTCCTAAAATGCATACAAGTAAACAAACTATGGACGAGTTATTTAGGCAAGGGGACACACCATTGACCAAGATGATAATATAATGCTAAGCATTATGTATTATAACCAAGTGCTACTTTATAGTACGACAATGAAAACAAGTCGATAGAGTATTTCCCTATGAACTTTAATCAAGTTATGCCAAACAGTATCACCGGTTTCCTAGGACCAAGTCCCAGAAGTCTTGTCTTGTTCAATATAGTGAATGTTACCTGGAGAGTCCTCAGTGTCTCATCAACGCTTCGGCCAATTGCAAGATTGTTGATGGTGGAGTGTTGGATCACTCCTTCCTTGTCAATGATAAAAAGTCCTCTTAATGCAATTCCCTGAAACAGCACCACAACTACATAAGATGATTACCAGAAGTATTGTTTACTTGGTTAAAACATCCTCCCAAGTTTAAGAAAGAGAAAATCCAGTAGCCCCAGCTACGAGATAGACTAGAAACTACAAACCCGGTCAACTTTCATAAATTTTAAATGCGATTGCTCATTCAAATACTCTCCACATCATGAAAAGGTGTAAGCTGTATTCATGGGCAATATCGACTTTACCATCATTACAAGGCTTTCCATATTCTTACAGCTCTACACTATTCCATGGCTGATGCCTACTCTACCATCCATTGTTAGCTTATTATTATGAATTTTCTTCTCCCGTACAAGAAGAACGTAATGAAGCTACACAAGTCTATTAGCGGAGACTGTTCCTAGATTAAACTTCACAAATGTGAACAAATTATTTGGTACTACTTTAAAAGATTGGAGCATAAAATATCAGTCAATTTGCAATAGTTCATTAATGATCATCAAATAAACTGATGGCTCAAAAATTGTTTTAACTATAAGTAAATTGAGCCTATGTTTGGTTTTGCTAAAAATCTGATTTTTAATAGATTTTAATAAAAGTTGATAAAATATATGGTTAAAAAGTTGATAAAGTTGTGAGTCCCATGAAATGTGTGGTTGTAAATGAGTTAGATAAAAAATGAGCTTTAAAAATGGGAGAAAAATAGGAGCTGAATGTGAAGCGTCAAATTTCTTTTCCTCCATCTCTTTAATTTCTCAAATTCGACTTACTGAACTAAGCAAGATTGCCTGCCAACTATACACCAAATCAAAACTCTAGACTTGAGAATGGATCTGATTTTCTTTTCTACTGTTCTTGGATAGACATGATTAGATGAGCAAATATACATGTTATGTTCAACCACAATTGAACAAAAAATTGATCACTCCGCTTGCAGAAAATGGAAAATAGTATCATAAATACCTGATCCTGAATAAGCACATTATATGACTTTGAAATTGATTTGGTCACATCAGAAACTAATGGATACTTCAAATCACCCAAACCCCCACTCTTTCTATCAGTTTGGACCCATGCAAGGTGGGAAAACTGCAGGACCATTAAAGATTAAATTAGTGCAATGCAAAACGAAATTAAGATTCAACATAACCAGTCCATGCCAGAATTAAGTTGGTGCAATGTAAATGATATTAAGATTCAACATAAACCAGTCAATGCTAGGGTACAATAAATCTAAATTCTAGAAAAAGCAAATGGGCAAAATATCACAGATTGCATAGAAGCCCAAAAATGCTACAAGAAATCTTTAAAATGTTGCTTTCCTATAATTTAAAAATATTATTTAAAAAAAATACTGAATTAGGAGAATACTGTGTGCATGGATGTCATAGAGAAGAGACGAGACAACAAAGAACAGGAGAAAAAGGTAAAGTTGGCAAACCAAACAAGAAGCAGAAGGTACAAAAATTGTGGAGAATGAAAGCAAACACAATTCTACCCATGGGGGAGAAGAAGGTAAAGTGGTAAACCAAACAAAAAGCAGAAGGTGCTAAAATTGTGGTGAATGAAAGCAAACACAATTCTACCACAGGGTAACACTAAAAGCAATGATGATACAGGAAATTATAGAGTGCATCTAATAGTCATACAAGGAATTGGCCAAATAGGGTGATAGACGTCAGCTAATAGCTGGGACACCCACCGACACTCGATTTTTCAAAAAAACTACCAACACGACACGTTATCAACACGTTGACTAAATTCTCTATTTATATAGTTTATACTTATTATTAATTTTTCATGTCGAAATCTTTCAAATATGAGTATTTATTTGTTATTTATAATAACTTTCAATTAAAAATTTATAATATTTTTGATGAAGAAAAATGACCATGGCAGAGTATCCAAAGAGTGTCGGTGTTGGATGCACTATCCTAGTTGAAGTATCTGTCCTACAGAGGACATCAGTGGTAAACAATTTCTAGGTAATTCCTTAAGATAAAAAAAAAAAAAAAAAGATACAAAATGTCTTCATTGGTTATGCACAGGTATCAACGAAAAAATCAACAGTAATATATGTCTTAATATTTTTTCTTGAATGATTCATTATCAACAGACAGTGGAACAAGACAAAGGAAATCTTTGTTTCCCTTCCTTCTTAGTCAGTCAAATTATCCTTCGACTATCAATTAGTCAGAAAGTGCTAATTAGCGTCATAATAGTCACTAAATCCAGAACAGCAATATAGACACAAATTCTATTTCGTCCAGGAACTCATCATGGAACCCGGTAGTTGGTCCAACTCAAAATTAAAATTAACTCTATTTTCCTTGGAATATTCCTTTGATGTGTTGAGATTGGAAATTCAGGTTCTTCACATAAAAGGAATAATTATAAAAATAGCTGGCAGGAGAAAGTCGAGTTAAGAAACATATATGGTGGTAGACACGTTGAATGTGTGGAGCCTAATATAATGAATTGTTTACCCCTCGGGGCGATGTTCTGCCTTTACAGTAAGATCAAAATGGTGTCCGACAGCCAGCAGCCCTAGTGTGGGGGTTCAAAGGCGGGAGCATCCTAGAAGAATTTTTTATAGCATTATAGGGTTTCCTTTGGAAAATTCACACATGTATTAGGTAGCCCTAATATTTTTCCTTCTATACAAAGGGTATTAAGGCGAGCCTTATGCAAAACACATTTTATTCTCTTCTTCAATATTATGCAATTCCAGCAGCTACATCTGGTGCAGTAGCTCTCACATTAAGAGTAAAGCACGCTATATCACATATACTTGCTTCTGCTTTGTTATTTTGTGTGATTGATTGCTCTGGATAATACGGATTATTCTTTTGATCCGTATGAGGAGATTCAAGTGAAAAAGCACACAACTTTTTGCCGCAAAAACATAAAACAGACTTTGAAAGCTTTTAGCAAATGACGAGGTGGTAATTTTTAGCAAATGAGGAAAAAAAAAAAAACATAGAGAGATGCAAACACGGGAATTTCCAGCCAGTCTAACATATGAAATTAAAAAACTTACCACACTGTCTACAGAGACACCCACTATTTCTGTGTTCAATTTCTCAAATTCTTTGTGACGGTCACTGAAAGCAGTGATCTCTACAGAAGACAGAATAAAAGGAGATGTAAATAGCATCATCAACAACTGTTAATTAGAAAACGAAGTGGACAGTGATATATTCAGAAGGTCCAGTGTCAAACTCACCAGTGGGACAAACAAAGGTGAAGTCCAGTGGGTAGAAAAAGAGAATAACATATTTCTTCCCTATATACTGAGACAGTTTAACCTGCAGCAAGAATAACTCTGATCAGTAATACAATAGCTCTAACAAAACCATATCTAGACATGTAAATTATATGCTGCACTATTCTCACCCAGGATGAAATAAAGAAATGAGACAGAGAGGACCAAAAATAGATACAGAGTTTGTTTCAACTTCAAAAACCTCAAAAACAAAAGAGAGTTGAATAATACATCAAGGTCCATTTTAAATCCCTTTATTCAATACATTAGAAAGTGTTGTGGTATGTGCAATAGAGTGAAGATTCCGAGGAAAATAAGTTGTTGAGCAAAATCAACTTTCATAAAAATAACACATTTAAGTTAAATATGAAATAACGGCACCTTTCACACTTCTCTCTGAAAGACTGTGAATGCTAATCTTAAATCGATAGTTACCAATCAAAAAACAAATTAACCCACTGAGTTATTAAAAATGAGAACAGACATCCGAGTCAATACAAATGATATATCTCCATAAATAGAATATACAATAAGCACATGTCAAAATAATTTTTATTTATCACAAGATTTTGAAAATGTTATAAAATAAGTTAATATAAAGCACGAGATTTCTACAGGTTCATACTGCATTCTTTAGCAGAATACCTTAATAAATTCTTGATCGTACACAGCCTCAGCCTCGAAGTCCGGAGCTGGATTTCCAACCAGTGGAAGTTCACTCTGCAAAAAGGATAAAGACATCACAGATAAAGAACAATATCACTCTTGAACAACAGATAGACAATAACAGTTAATCAAGAAATGCAAGTTCAGAGACATCTAACATGCGAACAGTAAAGAAACAAGAATGCCTAATTATTTTTCTCTAGTGCAAGATTACAGACAATGATTCCAACTTTTGACTTTTCTTACTCGTTACCTGGAACCTGTCCTTGTAACGGAAAATATCATTATTTGATCCACAAATGGATTCAAAAGAATCCCATCCCAGGACTCCAGCTAGAATAATCTTTAAACCTCGACCCCCCGAAAGAGTTGTCTATTGAACATGTAATATAATTCCAGACAACAGCCCTGGATAGTACAGATCCTTTTGACAAAGGTTTAAATATTAGGATAAAGATACTCGGCCAGGGCTTGGCCCACGTGGCCCTGGCCAAGTAGCACGGTTCTAAATATTAAACTCTATAACACAATTTTAAACTACATTTGCCAATTTATAGAATTCATATCAAGGGCCAATATTTGCATACAGTAAAAATGAGGGATTAGAACTTCATAGAAAATAATTATTTCATTTAAATTAACTAGTTATCAATCAGATAAAAAAAAAGAAAAAAGAAAAAGGCCAGACCATGTAGCAGCGCTGCAGTATCTAAAATTGAGTTAAGGGATGGATGCTACCGAATAAATTAAATAACTGGGTTTCAATTTGCGATACCGATCACGAAAAATGTCACTGGTTCAAAACCCATTTCGAGATTAACCGAAATTCGAACATAAATAAATAATATTAAAAATTCACTACTTCCTGAAATACACTTCAACGGCACTAGTATTATATAGCAAAGAAGTGGAAGTCAAAATTAATAAATCAGTAAAATAACCACTTACAGCGCGGACAACTAAACTGCGTCGTTCAGAGTGAGACGATCGGGAGGAGAGGGAGCGAGGCACATGGGATACAAAGGGTTTTCGGAATCCGGAAAATGAAGACGGGACGGAAAGGGATTGAGCAGAAAAAGCTTTAAATGAAACGAATTTGGGGGAAATGCAAGCCTTGGGATTGGAATTGGCTTTGGAAGAGAGAAGAGCAGCGGTTGAAGTTGCAGCAGTAGAGGCCATAGTCGTTGATTGATAGCTCTCAAAATTGCTTCCCGGTCTCAAAATGATGAATCTGGAGAGTGGCAATAGTGGTTGGTGAGAAGATAAGTAGTAGAATATTCGAGAGGGTTCTCTTTGTATTATCTAAAAATTTAAGTGGAAATTGTAAGAAATATCTAGGCCATGCTCGGGATGGATTAAAAGTCAATTAAAATTGAAAATATGGTCGTTATTGAGTCTCACTCGTCTAATAAAAGTCAACAATAACGACTATATTTTTAATTTTAATCCGATTTTAATCTCTCTCATACAAGGTCCTAATTTCCTCTGGCTACTTGCAAAAATGACAACTTTAAAAAATTCTTACAAAAATGGTCATTTTGATATATTTTAGACCAAAATATTCATGGTCAACAATTTATAATTCCATTCAAGGACAATAAAATGGTTATTTTTGCAAAAAAAATATTGGCTGATGAAATCTTGACACATAACCTGCTTCATTTATTGCAAATGACAAGACGTCAAATCACAATTAATGCTATTTTTTTACATTGACACAGAAATGTCAAGAACGACATTTCAAATGTAAAAAAATGTCATGTTTGAAATGAAATGTTCTTCTAAACATTTAATATATCGAGAATAACGTTTTTAATATGTTGAGAACATTTAATATTGTGATTTGATTATGTACTATTGAAATATAAAACGGGATTCAAATGTCGAGAATGACATTTTAAATGTCGAGAATACGTAGAGATTCAAATGTCCTTTTNTTTTTTTTTTTTTTTTTTTTTGCGGAAAATGAAGTTTTAAATAGTGATTTTTAGAAAATTGTATGGTTAAAAAGCAGTAAGAAGATTTGACGTTACGTGTATAATATTTTATTGTGTGAATGTATAATTAAAAATGAGTACGTAGAAAAAGGAGTTTGAAAATTGTATGGTTAAAAAGCAATGAAAAGATTTGATGTTACGTGTATAATATTTTATTGTGTGAATGTGTAATTAAAAACGAGTACGTAGAAAAATGAGTTTGAAAATTGTATGGTTAAAAAGCAGTGAAAAGATTTGACGTTACGTGTATAATATTTTATAGCGTGAATGTGTACTTAAAAATGAGTACATAGAAAAAGGAGTTTGAAAATTGTATGGTTATAAAGCAGTGAAAAGATTTGACGTTAAGTATATAATATTTTATTATGTGAATGTGTAATTAAAAACGAGTACGTAGAAAAATGAGTTTGAAAAAATGATTGTCAAACAGGTGGTAAGGGAAAACATAAATTGATGTTTGGACTCCATTTTTATAAAAACTCATTTTTTCAACATTTATTTTCAATCATACATTCTCCGATAAATAATTTTACAAATAAATTGAAAATTTTTCTTTATTTTTTAACAACATATTCTCTAACTTTTTACTATTTCAAAATATATCCTCTTGAAAAAATGGAGCACAAACAAGGGCTTTAACTTGTCTAACTCGCAAGAGTCACGAAAACACAAATGTTTGACTTTAAAAAAAAAAAGGCACTTCAATGACGAGACGTTATGACACTGATCAATGTCAGATGTTGATAGTTTATGGATTGCTAATAATGTATTGGCATGTTTGCTAAGATAAATTGAATCATATTTTACCCCATGTTTGGTCTAGCTAAAAATTTTGGAAAAAAATAAAAATAAAAATCAAAGTTATCAATTAATTTTAATTATATATTTCATAGAAATTCATAACTTTTCAATTACACATTCATTAACTTTTATTAAAATTTGCTAAAAATCTGATCGATTTTGCTACCGGTACATCAATGTGTACATCGGCGTGTACATCACACTCACATGGGGGGTGGGACCCGCTTGAGTAAAAAAATATTTTATATAAGTGGGTTCCTCCCCTATGTGAGTGTGATGTACACCTTGATGTAATTCTTGATATACAAGTAGCATTTTTGAAATCTGATTTCTAGCTACACAAAAAATGGACTACTAAAATGTAAAGATGGGATGTAAATGTTGTGTTTTGAAGGTCGGTGAACAAAGTGCATAACGAGTCAAAGGTTGGGACCTCAATTGCTATTTCCTCTGAACTAAACTTGTGCGGGTAAAAACATAATAACCCCATAAACTAAGGACCAATTAGCAAAAACGAGAATTATTTGTGTCAGTTCTCTCATTTTCTCTCCCTTCCCTCCACATCTATCCGAACCAAAATTCCCTCCCTTCCCTCGTTTTCTACTCCACCCCCTTCCCCCCGTCACCCACCCACCCCATCCCCCCACCCTCACACAGACACACACATTCACCATTATAAAATCTCAAACCCTCATTTTCCCTCTCTCTCTTGTAGTCTAAAACCCTAAAATTTCCGGCCAACTTTATTGGTTTGAATGCATTAATTCAATTGACTATTTTTGTTAAAGAGTAATGGCTGGGCCAGGAGCTTCGACCGGCGACTCGGGGGCAAAAGGGCAGACCGTCCAGGCACCACCGACGTCGATCCGGCGGCATCTACCGTTCGCGTCGATGAAGCCGCCGTTCTTTCCCCCTAATGACTACCACCGCTTCTCGACGCCGGGCCGTATCCCGGCCTCCGATCACCCATCGGAAGTTGTTGTGGTTAAGTCTCCTGTGGGTTTCGAATACTATTAGCTTATTCAACTTAATTTGCTGCTTTTTATGTTTTTATGTTGGATTTGTTTTTACTGTGTTATTAGTTTTTAGGTGGGGTTTTATTGAATTCTCTAATTAAATGTAATTTGTTCACGCTTATTTAGCGTACAGTTATCTATACTTATAATCATGACGTTCATAGACAAGTCTTTATATAAATAATAAAAGAAAAAAATTATCATTCATCAGTTGAGGGGGAATTCTACAATTTATCCGTCACAACCTATGTTTTATTAAATTCCGCATGAATTGGGCAAGCTCTTGGATGTTCTAGTATTTCGAACTGTAGGTATCTGTTAATGGTATCAATCTTTGTCATATATTGAGAGAAAACTTTGTTGACACAGCATGGTAAGTCTACGAATATACTGCAACAAACACTATCACGTAAATGAAATTTATTCGTATCTTACAGAGTGAAAGTTAGCTTATGTATGTCGTTTAATAATTAGATGATTATGTTGCATGAGAAACCAGACAGTTTTGGTATAAATATAATTTTGAAATTATTTTATTTACTTTCTATTTTGGATGCTGATACCAATTTTCCTGATACATTGGGCCGTTCAGCCTCCGAAGTGGAAGAATGGGCATGCAAACAATGAGGTTGAGCCTGGTGAATGGGCGACGAGTCCTGGATGCAACAATATGGCTAATAGTCCCTTCAGCACACCTGTTTCTGGAAAAGGAGGAAGGGCAAGTGGTCGGTCTAAGGTCACGAAAAACAATAGATCTGTGCCTTCAACTCCTGTCACCAATGTTGGTGAGATGAATTTTCCTTGAATCATCCTTGTTAATTGATTGTCGACTTTCGCAGGAGCATATTTCTTTGAACAACTGTTAGTGAATTAGGAAAAAACTTTATTTTCAAAAACAAATAATAACATTGCTTACATTTTTTTCCTAAAATGTACACGGTTTCTTTAGTATATAAAACAACTAATGCATTCAGTGGGTGAATTTGCAGATGCTCCATCTCCTCTCACTCCGGCTGGAAGCTGCCGCTATGATAGCTCCTTGAGTACTGATCTTACTTTCCATTTTGGATTAGCTTTTCAGGCTTTAGTTGTCAAAAGTTATTGGTTATGTGCTGATATTTCTATGGATTGTCTCAGGTCTTTTGACAAAAAAATTCATTAACTTGATAAAGTGTGCAGAAGATGGTGAACTTGATTTAAACAAAGCTGCTGACACTTTGCAGGTGATCTATCTGCTGGATGATTAAGCACATTTTTTGAGTTTCAGAAATTTTAATTGAAATTCTGGTGGTACAGGTTCAGAAGAGAAGGATATATGACATAACAAATGTCCTTGAAGGAATTGGTCTTATTGAAAAGAAGCTTAAGAACAGAATCCGCTGGAAGTATGCCTATTTTGCATTTAGAAAATACATGATGACATACTGTTACCCTGCATATGACTTTCAATATCATAGTGGTATTTGAAGTTTTGAACTTAAATGAGAATTTATTTACTTGTTAGGGGACTCGATCCTTCAAAACCTGAAGAAATGCAGAATGATGCCACTCTTTTGCTGGTATGTGGAGAAGAAATGCTAAACCTCGTATTATTAGTGTTCTTGTACTTCTTTTTCTTTATATTCTCATATAGACACATTTTGGTATTGATTTTTCTATTCTCAACTACCTTTTTAATTGAAGATTTACTTTTTAAATATCATATTTTCATTTGTTCATATATGAATCATTACTAGTGAGGCTTCAAAATAAAAAAATAAAAATGATTAGTAATGTCATTTATTTTTGCTTCCATCCACAGGCAGAATTTGAGAACCTTTCCATGGAAGAAAAAAGATTTGATGAGCGAATAAGGTTAATAAGTTCTCATTTCTAAGAATAAATGCTGCTATTGCAAATCGTTGTTTATGCTGATCCTTCAGAATGTTACAGGGAGATGCAAGAAAAGCTGAGGGACTTGAGTGAAGATGAAAACAATCAAAAGTATTCTCTGTGGTCTCCTTGATTATAGTATTTATCTGAGTTAAAAGAATTCTTCTGTTCACTAATTACACTGTTCCACTAACTGTTGCAGATGGCTTTTTGTAACTGAAGATGATATCAAAGGCTTACCTTGTTTCCAGGTGTGAGCTTTTGTAGTGTCTATATGTGACAGTATTCATGTATTAATATGATGGCAGGTAGAAGAATTAGGTGAATGTAAATCCTATGATAATTACACTGTCAATCAATTATGTTCAAAACTTCTTGGGTAATTAACTTCTCAAACCTTGTGTATGACAGAATGAAACCCTGATAGCAATTAAAGCTCCACATGGAACTACCCTTGAAGTTCCAGACCCTGATGAGGTAAATCAAGTAAAAG